CACACACACACACACACACACACACACACACACACACACACACACACACACACACACAGTGAGGGACACGCTTGAGAAAAAAAGCACCAGCAGCTTTTTTGGTCTAAGGCCAGTTGTTAAAAGAGCTACAGCTGGTTTATTCCTATTCAAATTATTTTCATGTCTTTTTTTCTAGAACCCACCGTTAACAAAAAAACAACAACAAAAGTTTCCCCAACAATCCACCCATAATTATTGTTGTTTATACTTATTTTAGCTTTGAGAGGGTAGAGGGAGGCATGATAATAATTTATGACACGCTGAATCTTCATCCATCAACCCGTTCTCACGTCACATCGTATTGACGCAAGCAACACACGGCACAGTTTAAATTCAGGCTCTTATTTTGAAATGACAGATTTCACTTGGTTCTTTACCCAGAATGCATCGCTTCAGCTCTCCAAGAAACAGTTTAAAACTAATATATTGTATGCTTTCTTACCAAAGCCATAAACATTAGAAAAATAAATGACCAAGAAGCAGCAAAACTTGCAGTCCACAACAACTTTTTATTTTAAATTAACACCATGAATCAAACGTCTGTTTGTATAAATGACTTCCTGAAACCACGACAAAAACTTGAGTTGGGTTGAAAGCAACCCGTTCTGCCCTTAGATGGCAGCACTGTGCAAGAATGGCTCATGTTATCACTGGAAATACTGTATACATTCTGGTGAACTGAGCCAATTTTGCAGATATATTTAGCTACTGCTAAAATATTTATGACATGTGTGCTTTAGAACATGTGGATCCAAAGAACATAATTAGCAGTTTAGAATTTGCGGAACTATCTTTTGAATTAGTGCTGCCCACCACTGCAAATACCCAAAAATTCTACTTAAGTACAGTAAAAAAGTATTTGTACTTAAGTTACTTTAAAACTCTGTGATTGTTGTACAGAACTGAACTATGTGCTAATCCACCCCCTCTTTTAAGGTTTCTGAACTGAAAATACTTATACTGATATTCTAGTATATTCTACTGTAGTACTTCTGAAAACCTGAAGCATTACAACTGTACTGCAGATGAATGAGTTCCTTACACAGAATACAAAACTGATTACGTCACCTTGTGTCGAACAAATGTGTCAAACTCTGCCACGCTGTAACCCAAGGAGCCGTCACCGTAGACGATCCACACCTGTCAAACGTACAAAAATATTTTACAAACAGAGGTTTTAGAACCCCGACAAAACACATCGAACAAAAAACATTTTCTGTGCGCTCCACCTCAGATTCAGGACGGCACAGCTTTGCGCCCAAAGCAAAACCTCCTCCAACTCCCAGAGTCCCAAAGGCRCCTGCAAGGAAACAGAGCAGCCAGATTAGGACATAGAATCACATCGTGGTTAAATGAATTGATTCTGCAGCCCAACATAAACAAATGTGACTTTTTAGTTTTTCTTTGTGGTTTGATTTGACCTGGATCTAACCAGCGCAGAGGTCCTCTAGGTCTCATTATATAAGCAGCACTTCCAACAAAATCTCCTCCATCTGCAACGATGATGCTGTCCTCAGCCATCAGTTCATCCACACAGTGCAGCACCTTCAGAGGATTTAGGTGCTGTTCGGTCTTCTCCTCCGCTTTAGTCCTGAAGGGAAACATACCTTGAGGAATGATTTTGTGGCACCAGAGCATGCTGAACTGACCCCAACCCGGATCCACAAATCCGCCCACCTGTTTGCACTCTCTTTGGTCAGATCTGCAGCTTTCAGGGATTGAGGCCACTCCTCTGGACAGCGATGGCCCTTCAGGCCTTTAGATAGCCGAACTAAAAATGACCCAGCATCACCTGGCAAACACAAAACGTTTGCTTTTTAGGCTTTACCTCCAATTCTCATTKAAAATCTTTTTTTAGTAATRTAGTCATTTGAGTGCTATTCAGTGTTAGCAGCAGGGTGTAAATATACCTTGAACTGCTACAGTGGGTTTCCAGAACATGTCAGAGTTTTTCAGCAGCTGCGACTTGTCTCGGTTGACAGCGATGATCTTGCTGCGCCTGCTGAGAACTCTGCCGTAGCTCAGTCGAAAGTCACACACGGTGCCTGCAAGTACAGTGAATCACTCTCATTKTGTGTGCGTGCTTATGGGCGGACTGTCCACAGCGCTGTTGTGTTTTTTAAAAATATGAATATAAAAAAAAAAACTGTTGAGGTTTTGCTGTTCGGTTTTTATTTTATTTACTGTCGCGGTGCTTAGTGCTTGTGTTACTGTAGGTCAGCCTGTTTGTTCATAACCTCCCAGGATATCTGCTCGGCTTCATCTCCTTCACCTCGCTCCAAGAAGTGTTTTCAAGTTCTGCCTCTCCCAAGGAGAAYGTTCGCATAAMACCTTTCCTCTGTCAATCAATCCAAGAGCTAATCCACGGGCAGCRTTCTGCTGACRTCAAAATCCTAAGCGTGCTGTACTCGCTTCTACTCTGAACCATGTTTAGTGTTCAGTAGATTTATAAAATCAGCACATTATCAATCTTCTGCCCTGTGCAACACCGCCACCTGCTGGACATTATAATGAATTGACATTTTTGCAGCTTCTGATCTCGTTAGAAACAGTTCACCACCAGTGTAGGAATGTGCGATATAAACGATATACAGTAGAAACKATATAAATTTGTCCTATGATAGAGATCTGTAGTCTACCGGCCAATCGCGCAATTCTTTTTGATGATGTAACCGGCTGGAGTCAAAACAGAGGAAGCGGGAAGCAGTGTGGTTGAGGGCGCAAATGAAGAGGGGGAAAAAAACCCATAACTTATCCAGACCTGGTTCGGGTGTGCGAAAATGAATGCCGAACTGTTTGCATGTTTACGTGACGGCGCGTCCTCCGGTCGGATGCCGAACGACCACACTGCCTGCAGCGGGAGGAGTGCGCGCCGCAGCACATGGTGACGCAGCGAGGCGACAGTCGGTGCAGGTGAAGTAGTGCTCCAGCAGGACGCACAAAAGCTCTCCGAGTCTGGACCTCATTTTTCCTGCGGTCATGAAGCGCTGTGGGAAAGGCTGACAGTCAGACTGTCTTTCAAAAAAAAAAAAGTAAAGCATAAACGGAATGATTGTCAACCCGCCGGAGCGCGCACAGATTAAACATGTGGAGTGCAGAAAAAGTAATCTGCACAGTGTGTAGAAA